CTATTCTAACTGGTAATGTCCTTCCAGGCTGCATAAGAACAGGGTGGCTACACCTTGAAAAGGACTGAGCTTTGTCTTTCACCTTCTGTCTTTATGTAGAAGAGGGGAGTTTGTATCATGCAAGCTAAACAGAATTTGTTCCCAGTCCTACTCAAAAATGCCAGGCGTTGAATATGGCGTGGCTTGCATTAATGTCTGAAACCATTAGTATCTGTGGAGAAAAGTGCCATTTCCCTTACTTTTCTTTCCTGGACTTGACCTACAGATATCCGGCAGCTGGATCTAAAGCTTCCTGCTCCCTTCTACACAAATCTGCCTTGCAATATGTGTTTTTATAATGGTGGGCATTATAAAATTATCGTAGGAAAAAAGCAGAGCAGGAAGACAGAAAGCAACCACAAGAATTCTATCACAATGCTCCCAAATTGGGGAATGACCACAACTCTGCTCAAGCATTACTCGGCTTATTTATTCCAATATGGAAACAGGGGAATGCCCTCCTTCTGCTGTCATATAGAAAGTGCAATGTCTGCAGAGAGGTACCTGTTTATGCAAAAGCTCCCCATATGAGTACGAGCCCTGGTTCTCCATGGAGTCTACTTGCATGGAGATTAATGCCTATATGAGGCATATAATAGGACTGTGCCATTTGTTGGAATTAAGACACTGCAAGATTAAAGTTAGGATGGAGAGCATTTCAAAGTAATAGACTTGTAGTCTTCCTGCAGCTCATGAAATTTAAAAAAAAAAGGTCATTACTAATACCTACAGATGTAAGTTCCCTGGTGGAAAGAGTACTGGCTAGTCAGGGCACCAGTTTGCAAGGGAACTGAAGACTGAAATCCTGTTCATCAAGGTGTAGTGTTACATTACACCATCACAAATGAGCTGGGCATTCTGTCTGGCAATAAAAACTGCACAAATTGATAGTGCATTCGGTCACTAGTTCCTGTTTCCTCTGATTGCACAATATCAAGCAGAAGTGCTTCCTTGATAGCACTTAGATATTAGTACAATTATTGCTACTGCAGGTGTAACATTGAATTAGTTCAACAGGATTTCAGCCACGATATCCCATTGCCAAGGCTCCACTAAAATGTCAAGGCAGACTGCTGGAGACAAACATAGATTATAACTGGAGATCATGTAACTCATCTCAGCCAGCGTTGACCAACATCTGATACTCCTGAGTCTTTAGTCCAATGTAGGAAACCCAAATTTTCTTTAGCAAATCAGTTCCTGCTACTATCACAAAGGTGGTTAGCCAGTTTGAATTCATTTGAGCAGACTGTTTGTGGGGAAACCCAGTACAGGCTTAAATCAATTGACAAGTATCCCATTGTCAGTTCCAGCTAGAGCACTATATATCAACTGTTAAATGATAAGTCAAGAATTATGTAAATATCACTGAATCACTGGGGATACTATAGCTAAACTTGACAACTGGATACTGGACATTATATTTACATTTCACTTTTTCTCCAAAGAGCTAAAAGTGTCATACACATTCGAGTTGTAGTCCAAGAACATCTGGGGGCCACTGAGCTACAGCACACTTTATATATCAACTGTTAAATGATAAGTCAAGAATTATGTAAATATCACTGAATCACTGGGGATACTATAGCTAAACTTGACAACTGGATACTGGACATTATATTTATATTTCACTTTTTCTCCAAAGAACTAAAAGTGTCATACACACTCTTTTTCTTCTCACATTATCATCACAGCAGTCCTGTTAGGTAGATCAGGTTACGAGAGAATGAGTGGGTCACGATCACTAAGAGATGTCATAATGGATTAGTGGAAGTTAGCACCTGGACCTCCCAAATCTCATATCTGAGTGTTCTAACAACCATGCCACACTTTCTGTATTAACATCTTCCTAGCCTAAAACAGTTACTCATTAGTAGGTGTTAACTTCCAATGATAAAGAGCAGGCTCTGCTATAAATTCCTATAGTTGCAATGTTGGTCAGCTCTAGCAATCCTAGCAGTTACTAATAAGTAATAGCATACTTCTCAGACCTGTTCATTGGCACACCCTCTCTTTCCATACACCCTTCAGGAGCAGATATCATGACCCACCCAGGGTTACCCTCTCTTTCCATACACCCTTCAGGAGCGCCATCATGACCCACCCAGTATATAACAGTATGCCAGAACAGCGGCTATGTAGATTATTCAGGAGAGGGCACTGCTTCAGACGTCATGCAATTATTCAGGTGTGGCTTAACAAGCGGTCTTTAAAATAGGGGTTTATCAGGTATGGCTCTCCAAGTGTATCTGGACTACAACCCCCAATATTCCTCAGCATTGGCTGTGGCTGTTGGTGTCAATGGGAGGTTTGGAGTGCAAAATCTGGAGATATGAATTTTCCTCATATGTGTTTTTAAAACTTGACCCATTCCTTACCATTTATACTTCAGCGTATCCAAGGGCAGACCTTTAGACTTTTGTTATTGGGCCTTCTTTCCTGATTTTGCCACCCCTTCCCAGTTGTCACAATTGAAAGAGAGGGACCTATTCCATAGGGAACTTCCTAAATATATATAAAATGGAAGCAGGAGCCCTGCAGGTGCATGACCGAGATTACCCAGCCACTCATCCTTTTTTTTCTGGCTTAGCACCTTCAAACAGCTCCAGATAGCTGGATCTGGGCACCCTTTATATTTCCCACAATGCTCCTTATCTATTGGGCATTATGGGAAAGGAAAAAGAATGTGTAGATCCAGCTGACCAGTAGTGCTTGGGAGGCCGACACAATGACCATCCCTTCCACAACAGCCAGTTCATACCCTAGAAAACTCTTTACCCGGGTCCTCCATAAATCTGGAGCACACCCTGTGTGAAAGACAGATGCAGAATATTAAACATTTGATTTTCTTTTTCTGTGCTTTCAAGTCAAAAACCAACCTATTGCAACTCTGGCAGGGCTTCCAAGTTAAGTGAGATATTTAAGGAGTGGTTGTACCAGTTCACTCCCCCAGAGTTTCCATGGCTGAGCTGGGAATTGGTACATGTATAGAAATCAGTGGGGAGAAATTTGTCTGCCATGCTTCATCTTCCCATTCTGGAGCCTAGATGCCTCATATCCATTCTGACTTTGGAGGCAGCAGCTATAAACCGTCACAATGTGTTGCTTCCAAACTGGTCTTCAGCCAATATGTTTTTCTCCCCCCCGCACCTTTTTTCTCATTTATTTTTACTTTGAATGATCTGCTGTAACAATCTGTACTTTCCATTTTTCTCACACCATCGAAGTATTCTGGCTTTCCGCATTGTATGGCCAGTATCCTGATCAATTTACCATGCACTTAACTGTGAAACCAAAAGCAGTTGCAGCCCTCTAGGCAGGTCCAGCTACCCACCTGTTTGCAGGGCCGTTCGTGAAATAAGTTGTGCACTCAGTCGCACGAGCACACTGGAAATGAGAATCATATGCAATGCCACAAGCACTTCTATGCTTGTTATTATGTGTGCAGCAAATTGAGTAGGATACACATCCTCTTCCTGTACTGTTTTCTAACGAAAAGGGAGGCGAGCTGAGTTTGTCCCTATTGACCCCTTCTCATTTGTTTTTGTCAAATGCCACACAGTTCACACAGAGCATAACAGCAGAAGGTGCCTTATAAGAATACGGTCAAGCACAATAAAGATGCCTTCCCAGAAGGATTGTGGGAGTTTACCCCAACAAAACATAGGTTTAGAAGGGGACATTTCAGAGACAATGCCATTCATGGTGATAATTTCTTTGTGTTCCATATGGGTTGTACTGTTTATTTCAACATCTGATGGTTGCCTCAAGGAAAAGGTTTTGAAGCAGTACCCAGAATAACATAAGCCTTTAAACCCCTGGAATTCTACTAGACACTCCTTCAACAAACTAGCCTCTTATAATAGCTGTGAAAAGGATATATCGTATGCATCTTCTTAAAAGATATGGCACAAAATAGCATCTCTCTCTCTCTCTTTTTCTCTCAAAAATCAAGTTTTCCTCCCTGATGGAATTATTTCTAAACGCAATGAAAGTTAACATTGCCACTATCTCTTTGGCTTTCATTTCAAATCACATTCTTCATTTGGCTTGAAACTGAACAGCATTGGTGATTGATAAAAATTCAAACAACAACAACAAACACCCAGAAATATGCTACACAGCATGGAAATTTTACTTCTTTAGACTACAACTCTCAGGAAAAGACCGATTAAATTTTTAAAAAATATCATTTCCACTCTCCGATAGAGAGTAGATCAACTCTATATCAGCAGTGTATACCATCCAGGCATCAGAAAAGAGACTAAACATTCCAAAAGGAAAAAAAATGTTCCAGTAATGGGTTTTTGATAGCAACTTTCTATTTCCCAATAATTTTCAGGGGCTGCCATGTTACACATTTATCTCCGAGTTGTTTTATAATTCTTGTTCTCTGTATTCTTTCCCACCACCGACATTTAAAATAAAACTGGAAAATAGCAATACTGCAACAAATACAGCTCCTACTCTCCCTTCCCCATCTCATACAGACATACAGTAACTTCATTTAAAAAAATACAAAGAGAGAACCAATATTTGTCATTTTAGGGCTGCACTCCTGTATTCACTGTATGTAACAATAACGCTTTATTCTTAGGTTGCAATACCCCATTATCTGGTGAGATGGGTTAACTTGTACAGCCTGAGAGGGGAGAAGAAAGGAAGAAGGCACAGCCTTTTCTCAAACCCCAGACTTCCGAATCCCCACCATTTATTAGCAAAATACACTGTTGCCTCAGAGGCCCCATTTGTTAATTTTAGAAATAAATGAACCTGTTTGTTCCTTTTCCTCTGGACATGCAGTGACCAATTCCTATGCCGAGGGCTGGCCCCACCAAGGAGCCGTCTCTGCCTGCAGTCCAGTGAGGAAGGTGTGATTTAATAACCACCGCTTCCAACCCCTCCAGAGAGGTTGATTAAGAAAGGTGAGAGAAACAGCAAAGAGGACGGTGTGCCCTTACCATCGGCGCAGCAGGAACTGAACAAAGCCAGAGAGATGAGGGCTGGCCCGAATAGTTTCATGGTCATTATTTTTCTCAGTCCCGCAGACATTTCTTTCCAAAGGCAGCAGGCAAGGAGGCAGGGAGGCAGGCACAACACACTCTGCTCTGTTCGGACCAGGCCTTAATGAGTCAGTGGCCAAGGTGTGCAGAAAATAAAGACTGTGAGTGGCCACGGCCCATCCTAGCTTATTTTGGGGGCTGTGATAAAGAACGGGAGGAAACACGACTGACTCCCTGTGGGAATTCAGCATGGAGCAGATTTATTGTTTCAGCCCTTTAACAGGAACTCTGCTTCTTTGGCAAGCCGGTGTGTTTTTGTTACTACTTTATTTTGCTCTTCTTTGGCCTCAGAGGTCAGAAATGGTTTTAAAGGGATCCGGTCCTTCCTCAAAAGAGGATCGAGTCCATGCTTTTATTTTGTGAAGAGATAGACACACAGCCAGAGCAATTTGGAGTTTAGGTTGAATACTGCTGTGGGGATTCCTTTTTCTCATACAATACCTAGGACAAGCGGTTTGTTGTGAAAGGATAAGAAGTATTTTCAAGATCAACCATGCAATCCTAAGAATGCATATAAATAAAACAAATAATAAACAAGAATGTCTATTAAAACTGGTATACTTATTAGGAGAGTTTTTACACTGAACTCAGCCAGACTTCTTTCTGAGTATACATGCAAAATATTTTGGTAGTACATTTATTATGGCATCAGGTTTCATAAACTACAGTAAGTTGCATAGCATAATATTGCTCCTACTTGGCAATTTTCACTTGCGGCACCTTCTGCATTGATATTGACCAGGCCCACAAAAGCTTATGCTGCAATATGTGGGCAACTTTCTGTGGCCTTCATCCTGATCTCGAAAGCACCCTGCCAGCAATCATTTTAGAATGCTGGCATGAAGAGCAATCTGTTTCTCCTTCAGCATGGAGAGACGGAAGAGGAGAGAGAAAAAAAAGGAAAGGGATGAATGGAGAGGAAAAGGGTGGCCCTGAACATTTTTATTTCCTGCCGTGACTATCACTGACACACAGAGCCCAATTAAGTATACAGGTACGAAAGCTGAACACTTAAGGAAATGGACAGAAAAACTAAATGATTCATTTGAGATGTGGTGCTGGAGGAGAGCTTTGTGGATACCCTGGATTGTCAGAACTATATCTAGAGGCAAAAATGTTGAAACTGAGGCTGGCAGTGATATTCCCTGATATTTGGGCATATCAGGAGAAGGCAGGATTCTCTGGAAAAAACAATAACACCAGGAAGGGTAGAAGGCTGCAGGAAAAGAGGAAAGCCAAATATGAGATGGATTGGCTCCCTGAAAGGAACCCTCAGGCTTGATTTTGCAAAAACTGTGCAGGGCTGTTGAGGACAGGACATTTTGGAGCAATCATTCTGGAAATTGCTCATTCATAAAGTTGCCATAAGCCAGAAGCAACTTGATGGCACATAAACAAGGAAGTACCATGCCTTATGGGGAAGAAAATGATTTTGCACAGCTGTTTTACAATGCCACCAGATACTTTGCTTCAAAGGGTTAAAATCTCTAGAATTTTATATATATTTGATAAGTAAGAACAACAGAAACTACAGAGATCGAACTGGTCTGGAAATCAAAGGGGTGGGTCACACTTCTCCTGAAGAATGAAGTATTTACCTGAAGGAGAGGATGATTCCTGAACCAGAGAAGAATGGTTTAGATTTCATTTTGTGCCTTGAAAGTTGTCAACCCTAGTTCGAAATGCTTTTTATAAATTTGGGAAGTTTTACATGACTAATTTCTCAGTGTACTAATTTACTTGTTTCATTTGTAGAGTGGCCTGTTTTTATTATTGGTTTCAATACTTTGATCTTACTGCTGATTTTACTCTCTCTCTCTCTGTGCGCATGTGTGTGTGCGTGTGTGTGTGCGTGCGTGTGTGCGTGTATGTGTGTGTGTATTTTAATGCAATTATCTGTAAGTTCTTTTATCCCAAAGGAAAAATAACTAACAAATCAAATGCACATTTTGTTGCTAAAAAGAGGGCAATCATTGATCAATAGCCTTGGAGAAAGAAAGAAATATTATTCTCCATTTTGTAACACATGTGGCAAGGGGAAAAATTCTCCATTATGCCTAAGAAAGAAAGCTAGTTTATTATGGGAGGTAGCGCAGGGCAGGCTTCATGGAGCACAACCCTTTCTTACAATAATACCCAGGCATCTACCCCCCCATGGTTCCTGAGATAACCAATGAGATGACTAATGGCAAAGACAGCCTTGGATTCGTTGAACAAAAAGTGACTGGATTGCCACTGGGATAAGATGTCATGTATAGTAGACTGGAAATCTGGAGACAAGATATAGAGAAATTGAGATTCAGAGCTTCTGTGAATAATTGTGTCGTATCAAGTCCTCCAATGTGTGTTTATGAGCCCCACATCCTGCTTCGGTCTAATTAAATGGAAAACAGTGAGTCAGTCTCCTTGGCATCTTTTGTTATGTGAAATGCAAGCACTGATTACACTGTTGGCTTTCTCATAGGAAGCAAACCAGAAGCCACGTATTGGAGCCAAACCTTAATTTTCCAAAAGACTGTGAAAGCTCAACCAATATCTATCGAAGCACAAATCACATCTTCCCCCAAATTACAGGTCGCACAAAAGGAGAACTGGGAATGAAGGACAGAAGATGGAGGGCACATGGGGAGAACATTATTAGGAACAGACAAAGGTATACCTCTTGCAAATGTATATACTTTTGTGGTTGTGCAATAAAATGCCAAATCATAACATATTGTGGCTTCAGAGGCAAGACATGAAGCTAGTTGTGGGAATATTTTTAGTATAGCACTAGAGGACTTTCTGTGTCAAATTATATATTACGAAAGAGGAAATTCCTTAAGTGCTGAAAGATATCTGCCATAGTGTGTTTCTTTGTGTGCCCTACACTTTGCAAATTAGCCTGATCTGTTTTGTGATCGGTGATCAAGAGGTACGCATAGGCTGGACTTGCAGATACGATTGCTTCAACTTGAAGTTCTTCCTGAATCACATCTTTAGAATGATTTCACTTTAGTATGATTTCACTTCAGATTGACATGTTATCTATAACGTGTCATTTGATCTGAAAGTCCATATATCAAGTAGGATCGGCATGGATACTATGTACAGATGGATGTAACAATGAGACAAAAGCCAAACAACTCACTTGAGTTTTCACTTTTGAGAAATGCTCTTACCTATTTAGAAGTGGAGGGGTATTGGAAGTAAGAGAAAGATATATTATGTATCCAAGACTTTGTCCTGAATCTGGAATTGACCTCCATTAATCATTCTAAAGATTTCTGGGGTAGAATTTGCACTCTGCACATTCCCTGAGTAATCCAAGACTTTTCATAAACTGAGGTACTCCAGGACTGACTTCAGCCAGCTCTCTTTATACGTGCATATTCACTGTGAGATTTCTGATTGTTAGTTAGTTAGTTTGGTTGTCTGTTTAACTTTCTATCCTCTGTTTTTGAAGATCTTGGGGTTGGTATCATTTTTTTAAAAAAAAGCCATTTTGAAATAATTACAAAATGAATTAAACAGTTTTAAAATATAACATGTGAGGAGCCCACCAAGTGGGCTGTGTGATGTCACCTGGCACCCCCTGGAAGGCCTGCTGGGCAGGGAGTCAGCAAGACCTCAGGTGAATGTTGAGATTAGTTGGCCTGCTCAGGAAAAGGAGGCAGCTGACAGGGATAAACACCAGCATCTTGGTCATGAGGAGGGGGGGCAGGCTTTGTGAAGAGATGGGGGCTATAAAAACAGATATGGAGGAGATAGAGGAGAAGGAAGAGCTGGGCAGGGTGGGGCATTCAGGGAAGGTCACTTGCAACCCCTACTCTTGGAGTGGGCTCTGATGCTCACACCACAAAAGCAGAGCCTCTAAGGACATTGTGCAACTGGGGTGCAAGAATACAGAACGCTGTGCCCCATGTCGCCACGCAGTGCATTACTTTCAGTGACAGGACAGAGCAGAAGGCCAGTGAGTAGCTCTTAAGTGCTTGGGTTGGTATATATGCAGGGAGAGGCACTCTTCAAGGTAGCGAGAGCTCAAGATTTCATCATGGCTTGAAATGTCATTACTTATCACACTGAACTCAGATTGGAAATGAACTGGCAGCCACTGCACCTCTGGAAATTTGAACTCGTGTGGTATAACTGTACAAAGACTTGGTAGGATACATGAGACACCATACATGACTGACAGGAATTTCATATCATCTCAACTCAAATCTAAGATTATAGGTGAAAACAAAATAAAAATAAAAAGTGAAAAAAGACAAAAAGGTGGTGGCACTTTAAAGACTAACTTTTATATTTTCAATGTGAGCTTTCACAGTCCATTTCATCAGACACAAGAGAAGGCAAATATTTATAAATGGCATGGGATATCAAAATACAGAGCTCATGATTGGTTGGTAAGAAATTCAGTGGGTGTTATTATGATTATAGTGTCTTTGATATGCAGGTCTTTCATAGACGTTTTTCATCAGACACAAGAGAAGGCAAATATTTATAAATGGCATGGGATATCAAAATACAGAGCTCATGATTGGTTGGTAAGAAATTCAGTTGGTGTTATTATGATTATAGTGTATTTCATATGCAGGTCTTTCATAGAAGTTTGTGCTCTAAAGAATGGTTCTTAACCTTTGTTACTCAGATGTTTTTGAACTGCAACTCCCAGAAACCCCAGCCAGCACAGTTGGTGGTGAAGGCTTCTGGGAGTTGCAGTCCAAAACTCCTGAGTAACCCAAGGTTAAGAACCAGTGCTCTAAAGAATGTGAGAACTTCTGTGATAAATTAACAATGGTAAAATAACAATGGCAGAGTAACATGAATGTTAATTAGATTACAGACCTGCATATCAAAGACTCTATGATCACAGTGTTTAACATCCACTGACTTTCTTACCAACCAAACACGATTTCTGTATTTTGGTATCTATTCTTTCATGCCATGTTATATCTCTTTCTCTTATGTCTGATGAAGTGGACTTGTTCATGAAAGCTCACATTTTAAAAATCATAAAAGTTAGTCTTTAAAGTGCTACCATGCTTTTGTCTTTTTAAAAAAACTTTTTGATAAAAGTTAGTCTTTAAGGTGGCACCATGCTTTTGTCTTTTTAAAAAACTTTTTGTTTTTATTTTATTTTCACCTATAATGCTTGCATAGACTAACATGGCTACCC